TTAGTATTTATTAGTGATTTGAAAGATAAATTAATATTTGTGGTCTCAGTTTGAAAAAAAAATATCGGGATGTGTTATCCAACCCGAGTTGAGACCATTTTCGTGATGATGTATGTGGTCAGGGAATGATTGGTTGGTAAAGCGTTGTAGACATTTTCTATAACTTTTAAAACCCTTCTACAACAATATTTAATTAATTAGATCTTAACAAGTTGTAGGTAAACTCTATAAAAAATTCATCGTATTCGTAACGAATTTTTTGATATTTTTCTAAATCAGTTATTTTCTTAAATCGGTAATTTTTTCACAGCAAAAATTTTAAAGTTTCAACATAAAATATACATACTAATTTCTACAGCTACAATTCTAACAAACGAACCCTTAAACAAAAGTGAAGTAATTTATCTAAAACTAAAAAAAAATCATTTGAAATGCTAGAGAGGAGAAGTTTCGTGGTTATTTTTTTGAGGTTTTAATATGAGTTTAGTTTTGAATTTGTGAGTTTCTTGTTATAATGGTAAACATATTAATAAGAAAAACAAAATCTCTATTTTAAAAGGGAATGGACAATAGTCATCTCCATTCAACCCTAGCTTGTGTGATCCCCTTTCCGTTTGTGTTAATAATTCTTCTCTACTACATCAGCTGCTCACACTATCGGGACAACGGCCTGCTTCTTCATGTCCAAACGCCTCTACGATTTTTTACCCGGTGGCCAACCCGACCCAACCATCAATCCGATATTCTTACCCGAATTAACCACTCGGTGTCCACGAAATGGTGACGTAAACGTACGGTTACCAATGGACCGGTTAAGTGAACGGCTATTCGACAAGCAGATTCTGCGCAACATAAAGGATGGTTTTGCCGTGCTTCAGACCGATGCGGGTCTCTACGAGGATGTAACGACTCGCTGGGTCGTGGATTCCTATATTGGGTTGCTAAATCCCATCTTTGGGCCAACATTTGAATTTGATTTTGTAAAGGCAATAGTGAAGATGGGGAAAATTGGTGTGAAAACTGGTTCGAAAGGGGACATTCGACGGGTTTGCTCGGCCTTCAATTGAGAGAGTATGTACTGAAATTGAAATGTTTAATTGCTTGTACTCAGAAAATTGTAGAATATTGTATGTTTACGTGCCAAACAAAAAATCCAAACACGCTTAGTCCATACGATTTGAAGGAAGCTACTTGGGGTTATTCATAGAATGATAGAAAAGGGATTCATTTGTAAGGAAATAAGTATGTTTTGATCTTGAACTAAAAAAGTATGAGTAGACAAAAGCCTAAAACTTAGTAAATACGTTTTAATTAATGCATGCATTATGCGAGACAACAGAAACAGAAACTATTAAAGATGATAAAGAAAATCATCGGCGTTAATCTAGTGTACATAAAAAAGTTTGATTCATTTTTGATTTCTTTAGTTTATCGAATCAACTAATTTCTTCCCCATTCCCTTGTGACAAAAAACTAGAGGGGGATGAACAAAAAATGGAGAGGGTTCTCCAAGAGTTGAAGAGACTAAACAAAAACAAGAGGGTCTAAAAAGGGCTTGAATACTTTCGTCTCTTCTTCTTATAATCGTAGCCTTACGTCGGTCCTTGTCACAAATCGTCCCTGTGGATGAGACAACGTGCATTATTGACTGTTATTAGAATGATCTTTGTCTTAAACTTGAGCTCAAAATCAAATGTAATAACATGAATAAGTTGTTACGCTTTACATTTGAAGACAAGAGTCTAGACCTTGTTACGGGGGCGTTGAGTTTGCGAACTTGATATCGGATTTTTTTGGAGTTGGAGAAGAGTCGATTCCTCCGTTTCTCTTTATACCTCAACATACTTGCTACTCTCATTCCGCTTTCTCCGAACAAATCTATCTCACCCAACCTCGCCTGTCCCCAAATAACCCTCACACATTACTAACTTGGAATTTGTTGCAATCATCAGATGTTTCACGAGTTAATTGAATTTGATAACTTTATAAGGGAACGGACAAAAACAAACATTTTAAAAATAAAATAGTTTAAAAGACGAACACTCCTTTTCTTTTTCAGGTGCATTTTTTAGCGGATTTAAATCAGGAAAAAACAAAATTAATCAACAAAAAAAAAGGTTGAAATGTGAATAATCCAAGGGCGGGAAAGAGAGATTAGAGGATAAAGTAAGTGTACATGGAGGTCAGAAGCCAGAATATTGTCGGAGAATGGTGAGTCCTTATCGGACCAAGCCTCTAAAACCCCATCGTAGTCCAGCTTCAACAACGGCGAGATCTGTTCAGAGCTCTTTGATTCCACTTTT